ACAAACACAGCCGTACATACGAGAGAATGGGACAAAGTGACAGTATGTCTCAACTCCTGTCCATCCTGAGAAATGGAAAATTATTCAACAGCTCTTAAGACAATTAAAAAAAAGAAAACAAGCGAACTATGAAAACAAAATTGCAGTTCCTGAAGCTCTTTCTTTTAAGTGTAAGAATAGAACTTGAGCACTATGGTGGAGGAGTATCATTTCATTGTGGAGAACATTTATTTCTATGAAGTCTCTCAGTGTTATATATTAATATTTACGGATACACACTTTTTGAGCATAATTTATTGTAACCATATCAATGCACTACTCATGCAACTGTTTGACTTCATTAATATAGGTTCATTATTTTCCATCTCATGATATAATTGGTAGTAATATTATGGTGGTATAATACAGACAGTGTGTTCCAAAGGAATATTATTCTCACATATATTTCCACAGTTCCATTATTCATTAACAACAGAATACGATATATCTATTTGAACATTCTATTTGATGTTGGAGACAGAATACTTTCCCACATTTCAATAGTGCATTGTCAACAGAATGCCATGTATGTCTGAACATTATATTTCATGTCGTTTGATGTACATCGAAATCATACGCTTGTTCAAGTTTTTAGGTTTAAGTGACACACTAATTCCTGCTTGATTAAGAATCCTGTGTAGCGTGTCTAGTGTTCACTTCTCATTTGATGAAATTGCAGATACTTTAAATTTTTTCTTATCTATGCTCTGATCACTGGTTCCTTTATTTTACTGGTGAAGATTTTTGATCCTCCTGATGAATTCGTCTCTCTGTTTCATTTCATCACTTAATTTTTTGATGTTATTGCTTGGTATGTTAGACACTTAACTGAGCCTGTTTCTTCTTAGTTTGAGACTGCCCAGCAGTCTGAAACCTCTTAGCTTTCAGTAGTTTTTCTGTGAATGCTGTCGTAGGTTCATGATAAAATCTACAACATATGAATTAATCTAAATCACTACAACAACGAACACGAATAATCCAAATATCAATCTCCATCTGACTGATGCCTACGGAATTGATATTCGAGATGAGGCGAGAAGGATATTGTTAACTGAAGAATTGTTTGAGATTGATATTTGGATTATTCGTGTTCGTTGTTGTAGTGATTTAGATTAATTCATATGTTGTAGATTTTATCATGAACCTACGACAGCATTCACAGAAAAACTACTGAAAGCTAAGAGGTTTCAGACTGCTGGGCAGTCTCAAACTAAGAAGAAACAGGCTCAGTTAAGTGTCTAACATACCAAGCAATAACATCAAAAAATTAAGTGATGAAATGAAACAGAGAGACGAATTCATCAGGAGGATCAAAAATCTTCACCAGTAAAATAAAGGAACCAGTGATCAGAGCATAGATAAGAAAAAATTTAAAGTATCTGCAATTTCACCAAATGAGAAGTGAACACTGGACACGCTACACAAGATTCTTAATCAAGCAGGAATTAGTGTGTCACTTAAACCTAAAAACTTGAACAAGCGTATGATTTCGATGTACATCAAACGACATGAAATATAATGTTCAGACATACATGGCATTCTGTTGACAATGCACTATTGAAATGTGGGAAAGTATTCTGTCTCCAACATCAAATAGAATGTTCAAATAGATATATCGTATTCTGTTGTTAATGAATAATGGAACTGTGGAAATATATGTGAGAATAATATTCCTTTGGAACACACTGTCTGTATTATACCACCATAATATTACTACCAATTATATCATGAGATGGAAAATAATGAACCTATATTAATGAAGTCAAACAGTTGCATGAGTAGTGCATCGATATGGTTCTGTGTACTACTGACTGACTTATATGAATGAGAATCATATTGAATCATAGAATTGTAATAATTCTATGACAAACTATTATTATTAGCAGGTGATGGTACAATTTACTAAAAATAAATGTGACTACTCAATGATGAATAAGTAGTATAAAGTATTCACAAAATAAAGTTCCATAGTTAGATTTCCATCATCAAAGAAAATCAACTACTTAGCAACTGAAATTAATCCGAAATCTCCACAAATCTTACGGTCTGAATGTCAGTGGTTAGCTCATTGGGGGCTAATGGATGATTTTCGTAAGGCTTCGCTGGAAAGTCGTAAACAGAGGGGTCCACCGTGCCACACGGACGAAGTGAATGCCTATCGAATGAATCTGTAATCAAAGAGCTATAACAACGGAGAAAAAATTAGAAGTCACGTGTCTGTGAACTACACTTTATTGGGAAGGATTGTTCATGAGCACGATCTGGCAGCCTGAAGGAAATAGGTTTGATTCGTGATGGCGTCGGGAGTTTGCACTGTAAGGAGTGCCAAAATGGGACGAAACAGCTGTCCAGTGCTCCAGCATGGTTTTGATAATATCTATAACTAATGTTCAGTCTTGAGGAACCCTTGCAGATGAAATCGATCCAAAATTAACACAAGTCGTATAATCTGGACAAAATAAAAAGGTGGTAACATATCAACTGAAACGATAATTGGCAATAACAAAGCAATGCTCTTTATTTAATAGAATTTCAGATTTTCACTTTGATTGATTGGGCGAAAGTGGTCTGTCTCAGGTTGACATGTCAGCTTCTTGTGCAGATGCTTCAGCGATGTCTGGGGATGTAATTAGAATTGAGTTGGTGGATGGTGATTAGCAGTGGAATCCAGGATGTGCATTTCTTCCTATTCGGGACAACAGGTGGATCTCGTGGCCCAGTTAGTCTAGTGGATAACTCTTTGGAGTTTGAAACTTTGGCACTGGGTTCGAGCCTCGGTGGGAACATCATAACTCACTGGGTAATAGAGGTACATCCAGATGACGGCTCGCAGATGGGATGAAATGCGCATCCTGGACCCCACTGCTAGCCACCATCCAGCATTTAAATTTTCCTTATTATCTCATGAAATACAAATCAATATGAATAAATTAGTAAACGCTGATTTAACATCAAGAAGGTGTTTCACTCAGATAAACACCAAACTAACAATGCTACTTCCTCACTCTTGAGAGGTGGCGCCACCCGCGGGCTAGAAATCATTGTCCCCCAGAAATATACATGCCGACACATTTGAGGTAGTCACTGCGTAGTTGATGGTAAGATCTAATTCAAACTGGCATTGTTTGTGTGACCGTAGTGAATCAGACGTCCCATATGGTCTATGCTACAACATGCCACACAAATGGTACTGTCAGCGTATTAATTGAAAGTCAGCAGAATCCTTTTTTATAATACTGGTATCTCAGTAAGTCAGGAAAGACTCAATTAAGTGGTAGAGAAGAATAAAAAACTTTTAATTTCATCAGTTTTCGTCAGCTACAGCTTAAAAATAAGTTACCGCACTCACATACCAACTGGTGCGGTGGTGTGGTGCAGACAATTTATTCCAACGGAATATTATTCTCACACATTCCCAGTTCAATTTGGCATTAGCAACGACCTATCTTTTTGAACATTCTGTTTGATGTTAGAGACAGAATACATTACCCAAGGTTAAATACTGTATTAATAAAAGAAAACTATGCATATTTGAACATTCTCTTTCAAGTCGTTTGATGCAAACCGAAATCACAATCTCAGTTATTGGTTAACAAATATGAGCTGTATATATACAAAGAGCGGTTTGATTAATGAAAAATATACCTTGACTTTCGTGTCTTGCCTTTTGTTGCCGCACTATTAGTGCCTTCTTGCTGCCTTATCACATTGTGGAAATGGTATAGAAACACAACCAAGGGGTTGTTTCTATTGTTTCGGATGGAGCTCATCCATCAATGGTATATCCGTTAGCTGATTCATTTCAGTTGGTAAGTAGGTGAGGGAGAGAGGAAGCTGAATTACTTCAAAATACTCGAATCGCTTCATGATTTCCTAACTAATGGCCATAGTTTTCCACGTTCATTGATACAAATGTATGGATGGCGTATACTCTGATAGTTAGTTCACTGTTTTAGATTCGACGTCAAAAGGAACCCTGAAGGTTGGCACTGAGGTCACGTTTTACTTAACAGACTTATCGACATGAGTCAGGCTTATCAAGCAATAAAGGACACGTCAGTGAAGCAACCGATACCGAGAGAAATTAACACAACAGATAATAGGAACCTTTGACAACAACTAATCAGGGTTGAAGTAATCAAGTCAGGTAGTTGTATCATTCACAGAGAATTCTTACTACATTATGAAAAAAGATTTCCTTACCATTGAAGTAGGTGCTGAAGCCAAAAAAACTATCGGAGATTGGAGTACATTACAGATTAAACAATATTTTGTTGAAGGATATACTGTAGTGTACTATTTTCACTCGAAGATTCTTTACAATTTGAATACACAACATGTTGAAATATCTATACTTTATATTAACATGCTGTTCAGAATAAAACTATTATTATAATTAACTTTGCAGAACTGATGTTAACAGTGACTTGACTCGATTGCCATTTGGAACACTGATAGGCAGTCTTAGCACCTGACTATGGGATAAATAATAAGTGAAACTTTAAAGCACTTAAAAATATCCATTTTGTGATACAGTTAAAGAATACACACCTAACAGGCACGAACTCTTCACCAATGACAGTGAAACAAGCAGTAGCGCTGGAAAGAAGATATGAGTGGCTGAACATGAACCACAACTCTAATATTTCTCTGGCTTTAACTTCAGTTAATGCTTCCATATTGGTTCTGAAGCATAGTGCGTCATGAAAAGAACTTTCAACAGGCTGTTGAAAACTCTCACCGACAGCTGCTTCGTCCCTACTGTCGATGAAATTTCAATGTGACTTGGCTGTTAAAATCCCATGTTTCGCCCATAACTCAAGCGGATAATAATAATACTGCATCGTTTAAAATGAGACTTTTCAAATTCGCTGATGCATGGTTCACCAACAGTCGAATGGTTTATATTCTCACCATTTAATTTAAACTCATCTTAGTTTTCTTTTTACCTCTTTTTATAGATAGATATCGAACGAAGATGGCGCCAAATCTGTTCAATTGTTCCAATAGTTTGTTTCACTACATATCTGCTAGAATTATACTAATTCTAATGCTGTGTTCTGTCTTACAAATCGATGGATTTCTTCATAATTATGATTTTAAGAATTCAAATAGGGATTTTGAGCTAGCATATGATATTTATACAAATTCAGATTCAGTAGTGGATAAATGTTTGGCAATTTGTTTATATTGTCATCATGATGTAAGTCTTTTATGCATAAATGAAGAAAACTTTTGGTTAATTTTACCAGACGCAATTGTCGTGTCAGATTTCTTAGAAGAAATCTCCTACTATGATTTGCTCTAGCGATAGAGTTATGATCTTACTTTTTAGTAGTCAAGGGAATAATAATAATAATACTATTAGTGTGCAAGTTTTTATATACGTACGTATGTGTTAACCTTTTGTTTTCGTTCCATTTTCAGAAAAGTACATTCGACCAATGTGCAAATAATCGATGTCAACAGTTAGAAAATGTTTTCTTCCCAAAACATTTTGATAAAGACTGCTTATTCTATCGAACAATTATTATGAGTTAAAGTTTAATACAAATAAAGGAAGGACAGAGGAATACTAATTGAATGACCAAAAATAATTGAACAAAGTTTATTGATTAAATAATATATATCCAGTTATTTAATTAATAAATAAACCTATTATATGAGTATATATGTATTTAAGACAATTATTTTAATACTTAAATTTCAGAGCTTATATAGAGACCGTGAGTTCGATTTGTTGTAGTATAGATATTTTATCATTAAAGAAAGAGGTTAAAATTCTACTGCCTTTCGCGTGTTAAGTAACATAATATGCTAAGCAATAATTGGGGTGGGGGTTAGGATAAAAGAATGAGGTATGAGAGGTATCTCAATCGATGAGATTCTGATATAACATCGATTGAGATGAGAAGGATATGGTGTTATGCAATGCTAAGCCACCAAAACTGCGTTAAAGGTGACTTAGGATTCGCATGTAAAAGATTTTTTACATTCGGTGAACAAGCCAAAACATGTGAAGTCCTTGAAAGTTGGTTTGAGTAATCCACATACAGGAATGTGAACTGTCTGGTTGTTTGAGGTACTGGAAAAATTAGGGGCCGATAGTTCAGAACTGTTAATGTGGCATGCCTCAAAATGTATCCCCTTTATAACCCAGTTGCATTTATTCTTACTCAACTATCAAATCTATTAAATCCTCTCACTTATCCACGTTAGTATTCTTCCTCTTATACAATTCTGATCAATTAAATCTCTTTTTTATCTCTCATTACTCCACTTTTGTTTGGTATATTTGTGTAGCAACTTGAACTAGTGGTGCACTTCCCTGAAAAGTGGTTCTCTTTTTGAAACAAAGCCAATCATTTGTACGTTTTGCCAAGAATAATGATAATAAGGGGTTTACTCTGAACAGTAAACTTGATACAATGCGAAATTTGCAGCATATATTACAATATGTCGTATCTGATTCTCTATTTACAATGCATACTATGAGGGGAAAGGAAACAGCTAACACGACATTTGCATTGATTATAATGTCAATAAGAATATGAATATCAAATAAGAATCTAAGTGGAAATATTAACAACAGTGTATTAGTACGAGAGAGAGAGAGAGAGAGTGAAAGGGGCTTCTCAGTGAGTTACTAGCATCATACCCCACACGTTTCTCATTACATAAAATCACTGTCAGATGAACAAGGTATCACTGAGATTTTATATTTGGTTGTATATACGAGTATAAAATCTTTAGTAATTGCTTCTAGTGCAACTTGATGAGATGTAAGGAGCGCGTAGTGCATAGAGATGATGCTCAGAGTCCATGCGACAAGATGGTGTTCGCTAATTTCTTGGATCAGTCCATGTGTCCAGTATCTACAACAATAATAAAAAACTGGTTTCAAGATACCCCGATCTTGTGACTGGTAGCTTCCAGTGCTCTTCTCAGAGTAACAGTGTCCTTCTTTAGTAGGCCTGGAAAGATTAGGTGGGTGAGGGAGCGGTAGAGACGAATACGTACAACACAAGAATTAACAAAATGTAAAAGTAGAGAATGACAGAGTGAGATCAGATTGTCTTCACTGCATCACGTCACCTGAATCATGGAAGCTGACCAGACCAAGTAAATTTCATTTATGTCTGAAAGTGCAGTTTGACAATCTGACATTTTGAGAGATTCAGATTTACGGTAAAATGCTATTCACTTTGAAACAATCTGACTGAGAAGTAACCGACATCGCGACAGTCAGATCATCGGAATACTTATCCAATTTATCTTCGTCAGAATGATGCCAGTTATTTGAGGAGAAAGAGGAGAGAAAAGAAGAAAGAGAAGCACCTTGAGGAACACTGATTTTGAGTAAGTAAAACAGCAGGTGACTTCTCATTATATACAGTGAAGTGCTTCTATATCAGATAGCTTGTTCAATCAAACGGGCCTGGGTTCACAGCCGAAGGTATACAACTAATTAAAGAAGATACAGAGAACAAATTTACAACCTCTATTTAAACTGGAGACACTGAGAATAGATGAAGTTGGCAACACCATCACCTGGCTTATTCACAGAGCTATACTAATCTTTTCTGAATGATCCGAAACCGTTTAGACAAACTATTTAAACATCACGGAGATCATGCAGCGAAGGTTTTTGAAGAGTTATTGTCCATGTGCTGTGATATACATTAAGATACATGCTAGGTTGCAGACAGTTAATTTTATCAGACTGGGAGCCACAGGTTGTACTCATAATCTCATCAGTAGTCATTTCATGTATTGTAATACGTCTTAAAACATGTTGCCACCTAGAATGATACTATTTTCAGGTTGATTGAAAATTTGTAAATCAGATAGGGCAATGATACATGCTATTTCATCTTATATCTACATCGCTTACTTTTCCGCATCTTTCATTGACAAAAACAGTGGTGGTTAAGTGGATATTTGATTTTCTGCAAGTAATTGCGTTGTATATTGGCGGTTTTGCAATGTATGCTTTGCTTAGGGATATGATGATTTCAGATCTAATATATACCCATTCCAATTGTGTTTAAACGTTTTTTTACACAGCTACAAGGATTGTTGCATCGCATAATGTGTTGAGATTGGTCACCTGTTACGGTGCTCATCAATGACTACGAACCCGTAGGTACCTATACAGTTCTTGAATTGTGGTTATACACATGATATTTTATGCGTTAATATTTTTCAATTATGTAATCCTCTGTTCTGTTTTCCTCGAGAAATAAATGTGACAATCAGTAGAAATAACCGAACAGTCCCGTTAAATAACTCCGATATATCTGCATAGTTATTGTATAGCTAACTCTTATCGATGAGACAAGAAATAAGATGATTTGCGCTATTCAGTTTTACGAACTTTTTCTTTTAGTGATATACTCTGATTTGAAAATGAAAGGGTAAGAGTAGGTGATGGATATTTGTAAGCAGGATCAGACTAGCTAAAACAAAGGCAACGGCTTCTACAGTTTCTGTAACTGAGGACTTAAAAGCACATGTATCCTGAATTCTTTTTACATTGGCATCACGAATGTATAGGCCACCTTCTCACATCATTAGCTAGAGAAAAATCCTCCACATTAATAATAATGAAGCTTTATTTCGGATAGTATGTGAACCCATAATACAGAGATTTTCAGCCTCTTTATTTTCCAAGTGTTTCTTCATCATATAAGATCTCTATGTAAAGTAATAGTCTAAAATATATCATGTCAGATAGTGTTGCTGAATATGACGAGATAACCAATTCTGTAAGATTTTTCTAAATTTCCTTCAGAAATTGAAAAATCTTTCTTTTAAACTAATTAAACATGTGAGCCGGTTCAATTAGTTACCATTTAATATAGATACACGATTAAAACAATAAGAAATGCATAAGAATTAAAGTAATTGATAAGTAGACACAGTAGTAGCCTAGTGATTCAAGTAGGCCGCCGCCGCCGCATTATTATTATTTCTTTTAATTCCTGGAAAAAAATAGGGCTTCAGTTGCGCGTCTTCAATGCGTTCAGTACTCCGCTAACGTTTACACCTAGCTCCATGTCTGCCCACATGCGTTCATCTCCTCTTCACATCACCTCCTCAATGTCACGCTCTCATTGATAATCAACTCACCACTTCCCACTCGGGTTCCACTCGAGGGCCTGTCTTGTGGTGACACTTGATGGTTTCCTCAGAGTATGGTCAATCCACCTCCATTTCTCCCTGCATATTTGTTGCACAATCGGTTCAAAGTGGGTTGGTTCGCTCTCAGAGATCCCTCGCTACTACTGATCTTTTCTGGCCATCTGATCTTGAGCAGTATTGAGCAAAGACAGCTATTTACAAAGGTCTGTAGTTTGTTTGAGATGCTCTTTATGACGCACAGTGCAAGCCTCTGATCTGTATGCTAAGTAACACTGACTTCACATTGGATTTGAAAATCCGGATCTTATTTTTCATGCTGAGTGCTGTCAATTTCGGCGGAGGCTTCAGAGAAATGAAAGCTTGTGTTGCTTTCCCGATCCTCGCTTTGATATCCTCGTCACTTCCGTCCTCCTGTAGTTGAAACAATGCTTCCCAGGTAGGTACATAGTTAAATGAGGTTGTTTATTTCAGGTTCCTCCTATTAATGTTGATTGTTGTCTCTTGTTGTTGTTGCTTTTGCTGTTGGCCAGGAATCTCCATCACCTCTCTTTTCTCTATGTTCAGATGAAGTCCTACATTTGCTGCATGCTTCTTCTACCGACTTGTTGCTTATCACTTGCATATCTTCTAGTTTGTGGGAAATCAGACATATGTCATCGGTGAAGTCCAGATCCTTCAAGTTTTTGTTTGCATCCATTTTATGTCTGTCTCCTCGTTGTCTGCTGTGTTCCTCTCGCATTATCCGGTCTACCACGAACAGGAAATTAACTGAAGAACCTAGACAGCCAACGTGTCTTACTCTCGTCTTGGTTTCGAAGGATTCCGTGAGTTTCCTTGTGTGCATTACTTCGCATGCAACATTGTCGCACAACTGTTGGACGAAGTGTAAAATTGTCGGGGGCACACCGTAGTAGCGAAGTAGTTGCCAAATCCCCTCGTGATCGACGCTGTCGAATGCCTCTTCAAAGCCGATGAAGTTGAGACAGTGAGGTGACTAATTTTTCAAGCTCTGTTCAATGATGATTCGTAGTGTTGCAATCTGACCAATCCATGACGTTCTTCCCCTGAATTCAGCTTGTTCCGGTCGAAGTTTTTCATCCAGGTTGGCCTGTTTGATTCTCTCCAGGATGATGCGGCTTAGTATTTTGCTTAGAATGAACAGGAGCATAACTCTGCGCCAGTTTTCGCATTGAATTAAGTCTCCTTTCTTTGGCAGTTTGAATAAGTAGCTTTTCTTCCAATCCTCAGGTACTTTGCTCTCTTTCCACACCTTCTCCACCAATGTCGTCATCTAGTTGGCTGTTGTCTCTGGGTTCATTTTAGATACTTCTGCTGGAATTCCATCTGGTTCTGCTGCTTTTCCAGCTTTTAGCATCTTGATTGCCTTCACGATTTCTGATTTCGTCGTGGGGTCGATGTTCACTGGTAGTTCTGCTTCCGTTGTTGGTATTGCTGGACGTGTTGTAGGTGGCGGACGATTTAGAAGTCTTTTGAAGTGTTCAGCGCAGTGTTTTCTTTGCTCCACTTCTTTG